TCAAAGTTAGCCTCCTCGCAAGAGACCAACCCTCATAGGTCAACAATAGTGGAGGTACTTGATGCTCCTAGCTACACCGACTTCACAGTCGAGTGTCAGTTGCTTAGCACAGATCCCTCTTCACCGAGCTAGATTACCCCACTCATAAATTATCTTCAAAGTGGCGAGCTACCTGAAGATCTGTCCGCTGCGAAATTGATTAAACGTAGGCCGGCACATTTCACTTTGTTAGATAACCAGCTCTACAAACGAGCAGCCTCAATGCCCCTACTACGCTGCCTTACTCCTTACGAAGCTGAATACGCTGTGAGGGAAGTTCACGAAGGAGTATGTGGCACGCACATCGATGGCAAAACTTTAGCTCGGAAACTCCTGAGGTATGGTTATTACTGGCCCCCTATGGTCGAGGACGCGCAGAACTATGTCAAAAAATGTCCGACCTGCCAGTTCAATGTTGATGATATGCACATGCCAGGGGAAATGCTATCATCTCTCACGTCTCCCTGGCCCTTTGCTTAATGGGGTGTCGACCTGCTCGGCCCTTTCATCAAAGGCAAAGGAGGCTGCACTTTCCTGGTCGTTGCAATGGATTACTTCACTAAGTGGATAAAAGCTAAACCATTGTCCACGACAACAGAAAGAAAAATAGAAGAATTCTTGTTCAATTCAATATTGTGTAGGTTCGGCATACCTAAGCGGATTATCGCCGACAATGGGCCACAGTTTCGAGCAGCAGCATTGAGATCGTTTTGTAACGACTATGGCATTGAGCTCGCCTTGACATCCGTGTATACTCCACAGTCTAACGGACAAGCCGAGTCCGCCAATAAAATCGTCTTGCGAGGCCTCAAGACACGTGTTTTAGCTGCACATTCTAATTGGGTTGACGAGCTCAATAAAGTGCTCTGGTCTTGTCGTACTACACCCAGCTCTGCCATGGGCGAAACCCCTTTCAGCCTGGCCTATGGAGCTGAGGCCGTCATCCCAGTAGAGGTTGGATTTCCATCTGATCAAGCAGGCTAGCATAACAATCTCAACAATGAGCAATTGTTGAGAGAAAACCTAGACTTCGTGGAAGAGGTCAGGGAGATGTCTAGAATAAGAAACATGGCGCATCAAAGTCGTGTTGCAAAATTTTACAATAAAAGAGTTCGAGCTCGCCAGTTTCGAGTCGGCGATCTGGTTCTACGCAAAGCTGGATTGATGAATGCTTACTCGCCCATGGGCAAGCTCGCGCCTAATTGGGAAGGACCTTATATGGTTATTTCTATTCAACGACCTGGGTCTTACCGGTTAGCAGATTTACAAGGTCATCCATTACCGTTCATTTGGAACATACATAACCTTAGAAAGTTTTACAGTTAAGAGTTAGCTTTACAGTTAATATGTATGTTATTAGCGTTCAAGTTGTCATGGATCAGTTGTAAATGGCATTTCATAGAGAAATCAACACACAGAAAGTACAAAAAAGGAAATTCAATTTGTATTTCATCAATGATCATTTACAGTTGAAATACATGACATATAATGTCATTGATCAATACAAGTAATCAAAAGAAAATACAAAAAGTCAAAAAGAAAAAACCCTAAGTCTAGTCATCCGTCAGATCGACGGGTATGGATGCATCAGCAGCAGCTGCAGGAGAGCGAGCTAGAGGAGACCGGGCTGCGGGTTCAAAAGCTGGTGCACTGACGAGCAAGCTAGCTAGCACCACAACGGGCTGAGAGTTAGGCGGGGTGCTTGAAGGCTCCTGCTCAGCTACAGGAGCACCCTCTACCCATGCGTCAGAAGAGGGCAGCCTCGCTGGATCCTCCCCGTCCTCAAGGACCTGAAGAGGCCAAACAGGCACTCCCTCCTCGTTGAGGTCCCACCTCAACCGCACCGTTGCGTCGACAAGGGGAGCAAGACTCTTCCCCTACTCGTCCAAGTCCTCCCCATCGAAGAACGCCAGCTCGCCAATCGGGAAGTCCGGGTGGTGTTGCAGCACCTTCCCACGGATCTCGTTGTAGATCTCCGTGGTTACATTTGCAGACGCCACCGCCACGGCGTCTTGAAACGCAGCCGAACCCACGAACCATTCCGCCGCTTGAGCTCGAGCAATGCTTACAGAGCGCGCGTGGGAAGTCTTCAGCTCGTTCAGCGCCTCCCTGGCAGCAGTGAGGTTCTGGTCGGCCTCGGCGACCTGGTGCCTAAGGGAGCTCAGCTCGTGCTAAGCGCGGTCCCTGTCGGCCTCAGCCTTCTTAGCCTGTTCCTCAACCCGAGCGGCTTCTTCCTTAGCTGCCTGGATCCCACTCTCTCTTTCAGCACGGGCTTGCTCCAACTCCTCCCTAAGCTCATTGTTTCTGTTGGCGAGCTCGTCCGCTCGGCTCTCTGCAGCCGCAGCTCGGTTCACCATTTCAAAGCCTTGAAGACAATTCACATCGTCCATAAGGCTAGCCTTCTCAGCAGCCAGCTGTTTACATTTTGAACCGAGCTCCCTATTCTGTGTACGAGCCCTCTGCTCGCTCTCGTACAGCGCTACAGCGTAGTTGAATGCCTGCCAAACAGCAATAATCGTAAGTACCTAACAAGGAAAAGTAAAACACTTAAGCAAGTACGAGCAAATACTTACATCCATCAGTTTGATCATGGCGACCTGGGCGCCATACTGCTGCTCAAAAGCTTTTGCCCGCTTACTATCCGAGGGGGGCACAAAGTTGTGCATGCCTTGCACCATGGCGGGCTGGCACTCCGCCTTCACATAGCTGAAGCCCTCAGGATAAGCGATCTTGGGGCCCGACACTGAGGCCGATGTAGAAGCAGGCTCTGCTGCTACCCGCGCGGTGGGTGAGCCCACGACCGCAGGACCAGCCGCCTCTGCAGGCTGAGTCCCCCCGCTTGTTTTGCGCCGGATTAGGGGGACTTCGTCCTCACTTTTTGTTTCTTCCCGTGGACGCCTACGTGCATTGGGGGCCGCGGCCTTAGCTCTATGATCGGCTCGTGGCCTTGGCGCCAAGCTCGATCCCCGGTGTGACGAGCTGCGCGATTGAGGTGCTGGAGGCGGCCGCTCGTCAAAACGCGTCTGCCTCTGTGAGGTGCTGCCCGCTCCTCGACCTCTTGAGCCTTAGGCTCGCTGACGCTGGCACTCGAGTATGCTGCTCATCTCTCCTGCACAAACAAATGTATAAGACTCAGTTCGGCTAGAACTTATACTATATGATAGAATTATACCTTCGTTAAACAGGTTTGCCACGTCGGCAAACCCGAACACGGCGAGCAACTTCGGGGTAACCAGGGCCTCGAGATCTATTAGATTTTCGCTCCTTGCGTGCTCCAGCAGCCGATTCTTGAGATTTGTGTCCCGTGTGAGCAGCTGAGGGTAGTTGATGTGTGCATTGGGCACACACCATTCAGATAGCCGGGCAGCGAGGTCATTGCTTATTCTCTCTGTTCGCGTGTCGCGAACAAATATGAATTGCCTCTTCTACCTCGCCACTTTGTTCCGGACGTTCTTGAACAGCTGGCTCTTCTCTCGCCCGGAAAGGTAATACCACTTTGCGCCTCGAGAGGTGGGACCCAGCCGGCATTGAAACAGCGACTTGAACACGATCGCCTTGGCCGGTACCTCTAATCGCGCACACAACAGCATAAAGCCAATGATGAACCTTATACTGTTGGGCGTTAGCTGCGTTAGCGCCAACTCTAGTCCGCTAGCAGGTCGAACACTAGCCCGGGCAGGGGAAACCGTAAGCCGGCGTCAAAGTGGTCCATGTACACTGGTATCCAGCCCGTTTGCGATACTGTGCACGCCTTTTCATTCTGCCCGCCTGTCCGGAGCAATATGGTTTTGGGGATGTGGTACGCCCTCACCATCTCCTCCAGTCTCCTATACCCACTTATTAAGGGCGCACAGTCTGCTACTTCATGATGAAGGGTAGCCCGAAACCTAAACCCAGCGGGCAGATCCTTGGGCGCCTTTTGCAGATTGCTTAGCCTGCCCGTGATCGTTCTGCTTTCCCACTCCCCAACTACAGGCCGGTCTGAGACATGACCAACCACATCCCCCGATCCCTTCCTCGCGGCTGGGTGTCTCTTCTGAGGACGAGCTGCTAGACGAGGCAGTAGGGTGGTCGCCACCGTTGTCCTTAGCGCTCGAACTGGCGCTGCTCTCAGGCGCCATTGTTTCCAGCAAGTCTTGCAACTCCAGCGGCACTATCATCGCGATAGGCTCTGCTGATATTACCCCTTCTTCTTCTTCTTCTTCTCGGCCCTGGTTACCTCGTAGCTCTCTGAGTTCTCTAAGCGAATCCATTTATTACCTTAGGTTGTTGAGTACGTTGCTAAGTTGATGCTCTGGTGATGTGTTCTTCACGCTGCAAACACACTGCTACAGAGAATTTCAGAAGTTCAAAAACGAGTGAAGTGAAAAGTGGCATAACCGTTCCCCTTTTCCATCCTCTAAAACAACAGTGCCAACATTAATTGCCATACACGTGCCTTCAACGCGCCAATTAGCGTCCTACACGTGGCACGCGCTTAACACCCCCTTTGCATAGTGTGTGCCGGCTTTAACTGGCACGTTCCCTCAAATACCGAGCCAGCATTTATGACGGGGAAGACAGAGAGATACGGGGAGATCAATCGTATCTCCCCAGAGATTTGGCAGATTTGGAAAATCCACAAGATTTAGATCGTAACGGCAGAGGTGTACCCTATCACGTCACGTCAGCTCGCCATTGTCAGCACACTTACCAGGTCGTCGCAAGCGTGACACATTTTCTAGGTCGGCTCAACCGAGACAGTTCGTTCACAGTTATAGCTTGTTCACTAAAATTCCCCAGGATTCAGTTCGTTACAGGTTGGTCTGCCCCTTTTCTCGTCCACTTCAGCTCGTCAGGATGCTCCTAGATTTTTTCATAGACCAATGGATATCTGAGGTCGCCCCTATTTAACCTCAGATCGTGCTGTGGGTGAGGTCGCATCGTCTCAGCTCGTCATTATGATTGCATAACAGCATCATCGTCGCTTCAGTACCCTCAGTAGCACGCGTGGGTCAGATCGTCACGCGTTCTCTTGCTCTTACATTAACATTGACGAGCTCGCTAAAATAGCGAATAGCACCTCGTGTACGTGACTATTCCCTGCACGAGCTCGCTTGCACGCTTTCAGGCTCGCGCGCTCGCCTCTTTTCGTGCCACCCTTTAGCTCGGCCGTCGTTGAGATCGGCTGCGAGCTGTTAAGGCTAGGCCCAACATAGGCCCAACATTCAACCTAGTTCGTCAACCGAACGCCGAGGGGGAGTAATGTTGGAATAGGCCCAACATTCAAGCGGAGCTGTGTGCAACGGGCCTAGGCTACCGCCCACTAACCTGAGTTGAGGGGACACTAATGCAAGCATAACCACGTGACCAGCATCACGTGGGCCAATGGAATGCTCACACGTGCAGATGTATTTCAGCACCAAGGGGCTATAAATGCCTCCCCAACTACCTCTGAAAAGGTAATTAATCTCCATGCTTCTCTCTCTGCAATTACTCCTTGAGAGCCTCTCTCTCTAGAATATTGAGTATTGCTGACTTGAGCGTCGGAATGTTTTCCCCGAGGATACATCCTCAGGATTTACAGGTGTAGAAGCAGCTGAGGATTTCAACAGTGTTGGACTGCGAAGCTGCCCAAACACTTGTCAATTCCATCACTCATCATCTTCAAAATCCCTCCACAGAAAAATCCATTTACAGAAGGGGCCACAATTTCTTTGTTGTGGAGACCAATTTGGAGAGACCCATTTCCAATTTCTATTGAAACTTTTTATCTAAAAACTCATTATTAACCTAACACTGTCAAGATAAGGTTTATCAACTCTTAAAAATTTAAATTTAAATTATTAATAATAATTATTGTTAATATTTTCATATCATAATATATTTTTCTTACGTGTAGTACAAATACATCACCCGCCAGCGGGGATTGTCACTAGTCATTTTAGGAGCAGAAGGAGAAGTTAAAACTAAAGGAGATCGACTACTTTTATTCTCCTCTGTGCTTGACCAAATGGATTAGAATTGATAAAAAGACCAGACATCACTGGATTAAAATAAAAAGCTCCTCAACGCCTAATTCTCCTATAGATGACAGCGAGGCTTGCAGCATTCTATTTTGAAAACAGAAAACGGTTGGAGAGGGGAAAGGCGTGCGGAGAAAAGTGACGAGGGAAAAGTTAACAAATCCATATCTCCTCCTTAAATTAAATGACTAAAAATATAATTTAATATAATAATAAATAGCTAATTATATAAGCATGTTAGTGATCTTTTTTTTTTTTTTTGTTAAAAATAAAATATCTTAAATTCAAATAACATAATATACTATTGGAGTGAAATAAAAAATAAAAAATAATCATATTTCATTATACAATTAAAATTTAAAAAACATAATAATAAATAAAATATATGTTGCGTTAATAGTATTTTTGTGACATAAAAAAGAGGCTGAACTTTTATTGCAGTCCAGAAAAAGGCCATTATCAGACTCTTCTTTTTGATATGTGGAAATCGTACGTGAAAGCAACCAATCATGCTCGTGATCCAATGCATCATAATCTTTATTTTTTATTTTTATATTTTCCCAGAGTAAGAATCTTTGGTCAACTTTTCACTTTATTAATTATGAGAGTTAGTTTTTTAATAGTTAAACCACTATTTTGGTTTTTAAATTATTGTACGGATCTCTCGATTTGGTCTCTGAACTAAAGAAATCTCTAATTTGGTCCTTGAATTATTGTACAGACCCTTGAGTTGGTCCCTAAACTATTGTACGGACTCCCAAGTTAGTCCCTAAACTATTGTATGGCTGCCCAATTTGATCCCTACTATTTACCAATTTAACCCCAACTTGGTCCTTCTGTTAAATAATAGCTCAGGGACCAAATTGGGGTGAAATTGTAAAAAGTAAGGACCAAATTGGGGGTCCGAACAATAGTTCAAGGACCAAATTAGGGTAAATTATAAACAGTTGGGGACCAAATCGGGGGTCCGTACAATAATATAAGGACTAAATCAGGGATTTCTTTAGTTTAGGGACCAAATCGGAGGTCCGTACAATAGTTCAGGGACCAAAATGAAGATTTAACCTTTTTTAATTTATAATATGATAGTTTTAATTTTTTATTTTATTGATGATTAGAGCATTAACTCTTTAACTCACAATATAAAAGTTTTAATCTCTCATTTTTTCAATTTAAACAAAAAAACTCAAAATGAATGATAACATTATGTACTCGTTAAATTTTGTTATCTATTACCATGTAAGCACCAACATGACAATTCTTTGCTATCATAATTGCCACTGTGTTAGGAACACAGTTCTCTATTTTTATTAGACTTGATAAAATTAGATTCAATTAAAAAATCTAACCTAATATATAAGCTATGAGTAAGGTCATTAATCTAGACTTAGATAAAATCCAAATTAAAATTATCTAAATTTGAATTGGGTTAGAGTTGAGTTGAGTCAAGTTGAAGTGATTCGATTAAAGTTAATTAATTTTTTTAATTTAAAATTTTGATTAATTATACTTTTAATTTTAATTTTTAAGTAAAAAATAAAATTAAATACTATAAAATCATTATTATTTATTAAATTATTAGGGTTAATATTAATTTAAAAGATTTTTTGACTAAATAATTAATTAATATTAAATTTTTTAAAGAAAAATAGAGAAAATACTAAAAATTTTTAATTTTAATTTCAAATTTTTAAAAAGTTGGGTTCACTTAATCTAATTCGATATTTATATAGGTGAGTCATGGATCAATCCTTTAATCGAAAATCTAAAATAACTAAACTTAAAATCCAAGGTGACTCAATCCAAACTCAGCTCAATGGATTTGACCTATTTGCCAGGTTTAACTTTTATTATTCACAATGACAATCCATGGTGGCAAGATATTGCCATGTTGGCTTTGACATGGCAATGGGTGACGGAATTTTAAGGAGTACATAACACTGCCATCCATTTTAGGTTTTTTTGTTTAAACTGAAAAGATGAGAAATTAAAACTTTCATAGTATAAGTTGAGGAGTTGATACTCTCATAGTCAATAACATAAGGGGTTAAAACTTTCATATTGTAAGTTGAGGGGTTGATACTCTCATAATTAATAAAATGGAGGACTAGCTAAGGATTTTCACCTATCTTAAGGTACAAATTAAAAAAATATTAATTATATTTTTTATAATTAAATTATATAAAAATAAAAATTGATTTTAATTTTATTAACTACCTAATTAAAATTATCTAAGTAGTATTAGTGTTAAAAATAATATCTCATTTTTACATCTTTTTATAAAAATTTATTACAAAATAATAATTTAGGGCTGTTTGGTATAGCGATTAAAATTCAGCGGATTGCGGATAGCAGGTAGCAAATAGGGAATAGTGGTAGCAGTTAAGCGGTGGCAATTAGCAGATAATGGATGGCGAATAGCAGAAAGTAAAAAGCAAATAACAGAAAGCGGATAACAAATTATAGATAACAGATTCGATTAACATAACTGTTTGGTTACACGATAATTAGTAGTTGTTATTATGACTGATAACGACATGTTTAAAAATTATTATATGTATTTTTTTATTATTAAAATTATTAATTTTTTAAAAATAATAATAATAAACAAATACATTATAATAGTGTAATCACCACTAATTTTTATTTTTAATAAGGAAAAAATTATGTTAATTTTAAATAAAGTACGACAATTTTTAATCTTTTCAGCTAATTAGCAAATTTTGTTTATTAAGTTAACATATTTTTTATGATAAATTAATGTAAAAATAAAAATATAATAATTACTTAATATTATTAATGATAAAAAAATAAAGTTGAAACTAATTATATAAGAGGAAATTAATGACCAGAGCAAAAAATTGAAAAATTAAAATGGATAAATTTTATAATAAATTAATGTAAAAATATATAATAATTACTTAATATTATTAATGATAAAAAAATAAAGTTGAAACTAATTAGATAAGTACTAATTAAAAAATGTAACAAAAAATTAAAAAATTGAAATAAATAAATTTGTCAATAAAATTAAAAAATTTCAATCTACTAGCGGTTTGATATAAATAATTACCTTAAATAGCTTTTTCAATTGACTAGTAGTTTAGACCCTAACCGTTATTTGTTAATTCCAAATTACTAAATAAAAAGTTTTACTAAATATCTAGTTTATAATGGTTTCGAAATAAATAAATTTACTGAACATCTATTTTTAACGGTTTAAACACAACTACTAAGTGATACCTCCAAATCACTATACCAAATAGGATCTTCATGCACTTTAACCTATATTTTTAAAACACAAGTTAGATAAATTTTTTAAT